TAAGATTAAAAGTCATCTGCTTAATTCACAGCCATTTACAAGTCAACTACTTGGGCAATTGCAGAAATGTTTTGATCCTGAGCTTGTAAGACAAACCTAATATCACTGGATTTAAATACTTCTTTAATCTTCCGAGAACATTCCTTCTTTAGCTCATATTCCAAGAATATTAAGTGAATACAATTATTGCAAAAGAAATTGAATATTCATTTGCACTACGACTTGTTAGTTTGCTAACGAGTTAAAACTTAAATTCTGCCTTTTGTGTCTACGAATACAAAAATATTTTATTGGGTTGTTCGGAAAGTAATTTCGTTTTTTCTCGTCAGAGGACTTAATTACATTTTTTCGAAACCAACTTCACACTTAAGCCGCATAACCATTATATGTCTTGAGAGCTGATATTACAAAAGGCTTGTGTGTGAAAAGTTCTATAATTCTACGCAGTAGTGTTTGGTTGGTGCCCTTTTAAATATGGAGAGCAATAAGCAGCATTTTCGTCATATTTTACTTTTTTACTTCAGAAAAGGTAAAAATGCTGTCCAAGCGAGAAAAAATTGACGGATGTGTATGGAGAAGGCGTGTTAACAGTACGCCAGTGCCAGAACTGGTTTGCAAAGTTTCGATCCGGCAATTTTGATGTTGAAGATGCACACGGTCTGGAAGGCCGGTCGAAGCTGACAAAGATGCGATAAAGGCATTAGTTGATGCAAATCGGCGAATAACCACACGAGAGATCGGTAAGAGGTTAAATTTGTCGAATTCGACGGTTTATAGCCACTTGAAAGGCCTGGGCTTAACCTCGAAGCTCGATGTGCGGGTGCCCCATGTTCTTACGGAGCGAAATTTGTGTCGTCGCGTTGCCGTGTGTGATTCGCTCCTCAAACGTCAGGAAAATGATCCATTTTTGAAGCGGATTATTACTGGGGACGAAAATGGGGTCGTATACAACAATGTGAAATGCAAGAGGTCATGGAGCAGAAAAGATGAACAGGCTCAAAGCGTTTCAAAAGCCAACATTCACCAAAAAAAGGTGATGCTGTCCGTTTGGTAGGATTTCAAAGGAATCTTTTTTTTTTTTTTTTTTTTTTTTTTTTTTTTTTTTTTTTTTTTTTAAGCTTTCACTGGACAATACAACTATTAATTCGGAAGTCTATTGTCATCAGCTTGGACAAATTGAATGATGCACTTAAACAGAAGAGGCCAGAATTAACCAACAGGAAAGGTGTAGTGTTCCACCAGGATAATGCGAGACCTCATACAAGTTTGGTCACTCGCCAAAAGCTTTTAGAGCTTGAATGGGACATACTGCAACACCCACCATATTCTCCAGATCTGGCACCTTCCGATTATTATTTGTTCAGATCCCTGCAAAATTTTTGGATGGTAAAACCTTTACCTCAAACGAAGATGTCAAAAACCACCTGAATCAGTTTTTTGCCAGCAAGGATCAAAACTTTTATGAGCGGGGAATTATGTTACTGCCAGAAAGATGGCAAAAGGTGTTGGACCAGAATGGCCAATATATAATTTAATAAAATATTTATTCATTATATGAAAATTGTCTTTCATGTTCCCCCCAAAAAACGAAATTACTTTCCGAACAACCCAATAAATATTTACAAATAAAATATTAAATTGGAGACTTAATTGGAGCCTCAGCAGTTGCCTAGCATTTGAAGATTGTTAAGTACTAACTGTTTGTTGCGAAGTCTAACTCAGGCTGCATGGTTGGTTTTCGTAGTTTCCTAGGTTCTCTTTACAAAGGTTCTCTATGAAAGCATCTTAACCAAATAGCTCCCATGTTCTTTCTATGTTCAAACAACCAACTAACCTAGTTCAAGCACGATTTCCAAGTGAAGTTACTAGCAAAACCCGAATATTCATTAAAAACTATGTAGCTTGCCAATCGGGAGTAACATGAAAGATACGGAGCCAATAATTGAATTGCTGTTACGGTACACTGTTTCTAAACTTAGATGGTCATTCCTTACATAAATATAATTGATTTGTAACTTCTACTAGAGCTGACGGTAAGAATTGTAGTGCAAATAAATAATATCGTGTGCAATCTTGATTAATATAAAATTAGAAATATTTTCATTCAGACAGAAAGTTTTTTGAAATATCTGCAATTACTTTATAAGAAGGATTTATTAATAACCGTAATAATTACTTACTAATTACTGATGATTAGAATTCAGTTCTTGACAATTACATTCTAAATTAGAATTTTAAGGGTATAATGAAAATACGCTACACATAAAAATACATTTTAGGATAAAAAAAAGAGGTGAATTTTTATGTTTAAAAGCTTTTTAAATTCATTTAATAAACATCGTACCCTCGTTGTTAATTGAATCCAGAATTTGGGTGTTGTTGTTTTATAATTACAGCCACAGAACCACAGCAGATCATTTACATAACCATTGAACTTCCATTCTCTGGTTAAAATGTTTAGTATCCTAATTGACTTTTAAAATATTATTAAATAATGACTTTAAAAAAATTGATTTCATTTATAAAAGCACTTTTTCAAAAAAATCTTAATCAGCAGCTGAGAATTAAAAATTCAGCGCTATAACATAACATCATAATTAAACGCAAGTTGTCAGTTTTCAAATTATTAAAAAAAATTTTGATAAAAAAAAACCATAAATTTAAAGTTCGAAAGTACGAAATAAACGAAACGCCGAAGATAAAAAATTACTCTTTATAAATACTTTTTAAAAAGAAAAGCAAAAAAAAAATTTAAAAAAATAGAAAAAAAATTTAAAAATTTTCAAGTCAATTTAGTAAATAATTAGCAAGGGTTAAAATTTACAACTCGAAAAATTTTAAAAATTTACAATAGCTTGGCAATTCAATAAATTTGATCATAACAAAAATGGAAAAATGTCGTAGTTTAAAAAATAAAAAAAGTAATAATTTGCCAGGACAAAAAATCGAGGTTAAAAAAAGTTTATTCAAAAATCTGCATAATTTAGTAATAATATGTTAGAAAGTGTTAAAAACGAATACATGAAAATTGCTAATTTGAATTTTAAAATGGGATCTGAGTGTCAATCGGCCCAGTAGAACGGGAGATATAGTACTGTCCTTTTTTTTTTTTTTTTGAGCAGTGTACATAGAAATAAGAAGAGTTATGCATTCATGGCATATCTACATTTGCAAAATAAATTCATTATAGTAATGACCCGTATGTTTTCGTCCTGTAACATTAGTTTTGATTTGCCAAACAGCTCAAAATTAAACAGGTTGAAGAGTTCGGATGGTAGATGGATGGAATATATGCTTGACGAAGCATCTATATAGCCCACATGAACTACCAGATTTATAAGCAAATGTCCAGAATTATTGTAATGATTCAAGAGGTGGTTTCAAGAATTTTCAATGATGTACATGAACTTCATTATCTATGTCCAAAATTATCAGGACCATTCGAGAGAAAGTTTCTGAATTTTCAATGATGCACCTGAACTTCATTATCTATGTTCAAAATTATCCGGATGATTTGAGAGATGATTTTGAGAATTTTCAATGATGTGTAGTGTACTGATTACTAAACAATTCTGGCAGATTCTGTTAGATGCTATGCTGAAATACTGCATCAGTCAGGACTGTCATGAGAGATACTGATTATTCAAATACCACTGAAATTGCAATCATATTCTTTTTTGGTGAATTATTCTATACTAGGCATCAGTAAAAGTAGTTATTCCAAAGTTTGGGAAAAATTTTTTTAATGATTTCTTAGGTTAGGATCCAAAGATTCAAATGATCTCAGTATGTTGAGAAACAAAACTACTTTTAAGCAAAAGCCTAAACAAGTTAAAAGATTATTTTTAAATTAATATTCTTTCTTAAACAACAGTTTCTCTGCAGTGCGCATTGATGTATATCATTTAATTTATCCTTTCTAAAAGACTGCTCGAGTTACAAAAAAAGGACTCAATTTTCTTTTAAAAAATGATTTGAAGCTTACTCAAATAACATATTTTTATGTAATTGTAGACAATGAATATGCTTCGGATTTATTTTACTTATACTAAAATAAAATAACAATAATTAAAAATGGAGAGGTATAAAGGAAATCAGAAGAAAATATTTAGTTTCTCTACCTGAAGAAAAACTGCTCAGCTGCCCAGAACACTAATTACAAATTTTTATTTTCTTGCAACTTAACTCTTCTGAACACAAAACAGTAGATACGAGATGCATTTATTCATATTTATATGCAATCATGTTAATCACATATTCATTAATTTACTTCAAAAGTTTCTTTATATACAAAACCTGTCTCACTATTTTTGAAACGATATAAATTTGACTTGCTCTCGATCATTCATAAAATCTATCACGTAGCTTCCATCATCTTGAAGTTTGGCCATCCAAGTACTATATGGTGAGTTTAAAAGACATTAATTTTGAAACCTTTTTTCAATACCCATAAAATGCTAAAATTTGAAATTTACTACTTATTAAAATTTATAAAATTCCCAAAGTTTCTTTTCCTTTTTTTTCTTTTCATAAAAATGGTTTAAGTCCCAAAATTTCAACAATTTTTCAAATCGAAATTTACATATTATAGACCAAACTTTTTCTGTAAGATTTTTAGTAGAATGAAGAATAACTTACTAGTTGGAATGTTAAAATTTCAGTTTTATGTACTTTTGCCCAAACACACACACAGGAAAAAAGACTTTCTAAAATTTAGATGTAAAATCCTTTTTATGTATTACAAAAACTAAAAAACTACACGTGGTGCAAATATTTCTGGAATAAGAGTACTAATTAATTCACAAATGACCATTTTACTTTATTTTAAAATTATTTATGAAAAAGGCTAAAATATTAATTTTGTATTTGTACAAATGTTATAAAATAATTTTTAAAGCTTCAAAGTAAATTTAAAATACAAAAATCATATTTACTATTAAAGCAATAAAGTTCTAGCACACACTATTTAAAATTTTAATTTATACATATAACATTCTTACCTGCTCTGTGATGAGGACTGATAAATTTCGATACTTTTTATTTATTTTTGAACCAATTATCATGAAGCGTAAAAGGTAAATACCAAGAGCTATTGTCCAGAATAAAAGTTCCCAACAATATAACATATCAGCAAACTGACTAGTTTCCTTCAAAATCTATCAAGAAAAATAGATATTTATCATAAAAATTCAGAAAGTTTAAGTATTCAGTTAGTACAGTATAAAAGAACTAATTTTTCATTTCTTTAATTTGATTTGTATATTAATAACAAGTTACAAGAAAAGAAAAAGAAACTTTTCAAAAACTATAAAATTAAATAAATAAATAAAGGGGAGGGAAGAGAGAATATTTTGAATTAATGTTTAGTTCCAAATAAACTGATCTCTTTTTCTTAAATTTATTTATTAACAATTGAAATGACCAAAATCATTCAGAATTTCTTTAAAATATTTTAAGAAATATATCGATAAGCATAAAATTTCAAACAATGTACAAAGCATACAGAATGATTTTCAATGGAACTTATATTCTTTTATTTATGATTATTTTAGATTTACAGTTTGCTTTCCCTTTCTCCCCCATTTGAAAAAGATATTTAGTGATAGATGGAAGTCCTCCCCCTTGTCACAAATAATAGTAAAGTTTTTTGACAATCAGTAGGCATACAAACTTTACAGCAACAGAATACAAGTCAAACTTTACAGCATCAGAATTTCATTTGCAAAGCAAAAATATATCTCAATCTCATAACTCAACATCTAAAAATCTTCCCTCCCCCACCCAATCTTTCTCAGAATTACAGTAATGTCATATTATATATATATATATAAACCAAAGGGACCCAAAAATTAGAGTCCTACATTATATTTAAAGAAAAATAAATAATGAAGAATCTGCATGAATGTATGCACATTTCTTTCACTGTGAAAAAACAACAGTGATTTGAAATTGGGAATTAAAAATTTGAAACTGTTAGCAAATTTAAATATTTAGGATCAGAAGTTAACACTCTCAATTATTTAATGCCTGAGATCCATAGTAGAGTCACAGATGCTAACCGATGTTTTTTCAGTCTAAAAAAATACTTGAAGTCTAACTAGCAGAAAAATGAAGATTTTAATTTACAAAAGCTTAATCAGACCCATTCTTACATACCTGTTGAGACCTGGGCAATGATAGAAAAAGCTAAAAGTATCATTTCTGTCTTTGAAAGAAAAATTTTGAGAAGTATTTTTAGTGGCATAAAATATAACAATATCTGAAGAAGAAGAACTAACTCTGAACTCTAAAAATCCTTTAAAGAAATATATGTAGTAAAATATGTAAGGATTCAGAGAATTAAATGGGCAGAACACCTGCGCAGAATGGGTGAAAATCAAGTAACTAAAAAGATTTTCACGGCCGGACCATTCGGCACCCGAAAAAGAGAGACCTAAACTTAGGTGACTCAACTGGAAACAGACTTAAGAATTTATAAATAACCAATTGCATGTCCATGGCCAGGGATAGAAGAGCTTGGAATTTGATTCTGAGGAAGGCAAGGGCCCATCCTGGGCTGTCTGGCTATTGAAGAAGTAGTAGAAGCATGAATGTATATACATTTCTCGCACTGTGAAAAAACAACAGTATCCAGAGACATAAAATTTTGAATAACGCAGTCCTCAACTTGAATATGGGATCTGGAAGCCTAAATTTGGAATCTCAAATTAATTTTATTACCTATTTCATATTTTGTAAAACTTTAACAAACAACAAACTCAACAATTTCAAAACAAACATTGGCAACACTGTATGGGTCCCCCCCCCAAAAAAAACCTCTTGTCACCAGCGTGCGAGACAGCGTATCGGAAATTCTAAAGATATGCTTTTCCTAAATAGTTTATGATATTGCTCTTTAATTTAATTTTATGATTTAAGTGAGAAGAATATGATATTTGATAAATAAAGATAACATACAAAACATTAAAAAAAAACCCTTCTGGGTGTAATATAAAATATGAAAGCTTTCAGATTTTTTATGTATTTATATATTTATTTTTACTTTTAAAAATTTATATACTCTCCTTTCACTAACATGAAGCTCCTAATGATATTCTAATTCCGAATTTATATATCATTATCAAAAGTTTGTTACTGAAATTATAAGTCTCTTTCATAAATAACACATTTAATCTTCACTGAATTTAAAAAAACAAGTTTTCCAGCTTTCAAATTTTTATAGCTCTGAAATTCTAACCCTCTTAAAATTCTAATCAAAATAAACTTTTTCCATGATATAAGACAACTCGAATAAGTTACATAAAATAATAACTAAAAATTATTTGCTTTAGATAAATTTACTATAGTTTAATTTTATTAAAAAAGAAAAAATTAGTGAAAAATTCCACTTGAAATTGAGCTTAATATAAAGCTAAAAACAAAAGTTATAAATACAGTAATTTCATTTCTTATCATAATGCAACATTAATTTTTGTTACTTTGTAAATGTATTCTTTCAAAGATGGTATTTTATGTAATATATAAATACTTAAGTAAATATTTAATTGCAAATATATACAGAACAAAGTCCAAAATCCAGACATACTATATATGGAGCTCTAGACCACTAGCAATTTTTTTATTTTTGTTAAAAATGTTTTCTTAAAAAAATCCAGGAATGAAGAATATAATCTCAAGGAAAAACAGGTGCATAGTAAATGCAATTTTTCTCTTTCTTTTAATAAGATTTGTACCTGCATGTCACTTTCAAACACATACTGTCTATAGAATTACACAAAAGGCTAATGAAAATACACTGACTGACATTGAACACTTGAGTAATTGTGAAACCACATTTTTTTTGCTCTTGAATGTTTGCTGGGGGTGGAGTTTAGTATTTTTCTACCTGATTTAAAGACTAAGGAAGCCAAAGGCATATTTGTTTATTGTTGGTCAAATTAGTTTTCTTTTACTGGTTTAGCAGCAGGAAAGAGAGAAAGAATCCCAGGAACGTAAGTTCCATGAATGCAGGAAATTGGGCACTTCCTTGATTTTTTAATTTGATAGAGTTTATTGTGTTCTGCAGGCTGTTATCATTACAAAAACATCTTATCAAATTTAAAGTTTGAATTTTTGATTATGTCGAAAAGAGTTTCTAATTCTGGACCTACAACAGGATCTGCAAAGCGGAAGCATGTTTTGATGTCAACCACACAAAAAAATTAATAAAGGCATATCAGATTTAAAGTTATGTGAGGAGAATGGTATTAGAAAGTCAACAGTATCAGACTTTTTAAGTCCCCACCCTCGAATTCTGAATCTCCTCTCACAATCAAAAGCACAAAAATCATTCATTATGCTGAAAATGATGATTAAGACAAAATGACAATTGAATTGGTGATACAACACTGCAGCAAGGGCATGCCAGTGAAGGGTCCAATGGTAATAGCTCAAGCCAAAATATTTTATGAGATAAGGAAATGGACTTAAAGTTGAGTGCATATATTTGAAAGATAAGTTAATCAAATAAAATTGCCATTGTATTAGCAATTAAAATTTTAGGCCATGGTAAGTCAATTAAAAAAGTTAAAAACCATGGCAAGGTAATTAAAATTTCAGGCTAAAAAGCTTCAGCTGAGAATAAATTTATAATGCTGAAAAAACTGCTGGTCTTTTGGGATATGTACCCCTAAACACCTTAAAAACCTTTGTGGAAAAAAAAAAAAAAAAGCCCCAGCTGGTGTCAGAAATTCTGAAGTGAGATAATGATTTTGAGATGTGCAAAAAATGCACAAAAACACGAATATAAACTTTTTATCAGCAAAAAAATACACAAACTTGGGCACTTAAAGGAGTAAAGATTTTCAACATTATCTATCATTCAAAGAAAAGCGCATGGACAATACAAACATTAATAAATGACTAATTTGAAAATTATTTTATACTCAGGGCTCGGGAACATTTGAAACTGGTTGGTTTGCAAGATGAATCAAATATTGTCCTGATTATATACAACTGTTCAGTACAAATTTCACTTAAAGTTTTAGCAAAAGATAACATTTCTGTCTTATCTTTCCTCCAAACTATACATCCATCATTCAGCCAATGGATATATCAAAGCGCTTGAATGCACTCAAATGCAGATATATAGCAGCCTTTTTAAAATGTGCACTGAATTTTTTTAAAAGTGGACCATTAAAAATTTTTGATACATTTTAATATAAAATTTACTCACTACATGGTGGAGCACTACATGGTCATAGAAGGATGTGTCTGTAGATAATTTTAAAAATGCTATGCATAATTTAGGGTCAACTACCATATTTCATGGGGATGGAGCCACAAATCTGAAAGTTTTCGTATATTACATGTAAAAGATGAAATTTTCCAATTAATATAATTAATGAAGAAACTATAATATATATAATGACAAATGAATATGATATAGACAGAAATTTTCCATTGTGGTGACAAGGTCCCAAGCGAATAGTCAGTCGGTAATGGACGCCGAAATATGCAGTATGATTTTATATTCTGAAAATATCACTATTGATAGTAAAGGGGGGGGGATTCTCGACATAGAAATTCAGAACTTGAACAATGGTAATTTGTGACTGAACAAAAAATTGCCTACAAAATTAAAGAGAAAGTATTAACACAAAAAAATGAAATAGCTCACACTGAAAGAAATGCTTTATAAAACAAACAAATGCAGTCAAAAGTCTTTAATCCAGACTCATCGGACTTTTTCAGGCCATGGTAAGTTAAGGCCAATAATAATGTGATTCCGGATTATCGGTTTTTCCGAACTATAGATCATCAGTTTAAATTTGGTAAGATGGTATGCAGAAATTGTAAAATTAAAAGTATGAAACCGTAATTTATGAAATAAAGAGCAATTATGATCTAAAGGGTATCAAAATTTACAAAAAAAAACTTAATATCTATTTGTTTACTTTATTAAACATTTCTTTCAACTCGCGCATGTGTAAAGCATATATTATGCATAGTCGAAATTAGAAAATTGCAACCGTAAAACTATTTGCTGTGTATTCATGATATTTATAATGATGAGGAATTTGATTTAAATCATATCAAAGATGGAGTACATCGAGATGAAATACTACATTTAGTAAGGAATTATAAGCCAAATAAAATAAAAACATCTGCCCTGAAGATAAGGATTGTGCTGACAGATCAACTTCCAGTTCATTGCGCGCTGCGGCGTTTCCCCCTCCCCCGCAGAGCAGCGTGAAATTGATAAACAGATTTAGGAACGGTTAGAGAAACAAAGGATATGCCTTTATCCATTTTTTGCAGCAATTCCACTTTTTGTTTGAAGGACATTGAAACATGCTTTCCCTTTGTAGATCCTTTGGCAGCTTCAGAATCGGAAATTCTTTTGACATAATCGAAAGTTCAAGCTTACTTTTATAAAATTGCTCTAACGGTCTGCAAAAAATAATAAGCCGGATCCAATTAGAAGATTAAGGAACAACGCAATCTGCAACATTAACTAAAATAGACAATTAGATAATTTTAGCTTAGCTTATACCGTCCGTTATACATTAAACGTGCATGCGTAAACGTATTATGCATTTACGCATGCGGAGAAAGTTTGTAGCTTTGAGGTCCGGATTAAAGACTTTTTGACTGTACTGTGCTTTTTTTTGGTGGGGGGGGGGCAAAGTTTAATATTCCTGTGATTTTAAATGTTTCATTACTTCATATTTTTAATTTTATAATTTCTACATGTCATCTTAATAAATTTCAACTGATGATCTAAAATCTGAAAATTTCTAAACTCCAGAACAGCCAAAGTCCTGACAGTTCCAGATCTATATACAGTAATACACAAAGAATATAAAAGAGCATCTCATGCATGGGTACATATATGTCAAAAGAACAATAATACTTAGTGTGAAAGTGAAGAAATGAAGTGAAATCTAACATGAATATTTATAACTAATTAATAAATATTAAAAAATTATTAATCACGTAATTCAAAAGACAAAGAAAAAAAGCATACTCTTAAAAGTTTTCCCTAGACCTTTTGTATCTTTCCCAAAACAAATTTCTCTGAAATAGATAACTCAGAAACGATAATTTACTTTTGTAGCTTTATACCATTTATATCAAATGAAATATTAAAATGACATATAAAAAAGAGTGATCAGAAATACTCTAAATTATGATACAATTAAAAATTGCATTGTTACATTAAAAATAAACAAAATTCAAACTCAGATTAACACAGAGACTTATAAGAGACTAAATTTTAAATTTCAAATTAAAATGCATTTCATTCATATACTGCTATATTAATTTAATTTTTTACCTGAATGCATAAAATTGAAACAACACAAACTTCCAAAATAAATGCAATAGAAACAATAACATCAACAGATCTCTGAGGGCCCAATTTCTGTAAATGAAATAAATAATTCATAACACTCATTCAATAATGTATTTTAAATACTGTCTAAATAACACATTAAAGTAATATTTACATCAAAAACTCTTTATAACCTAGTTTCTTTTCTTCCAATATATTTTGAAAATGACCTTATATAAAAATATTTTTGATTTGGTACGAAACAGAACAAATCACATAGATTGGGGGTTCTCAACCTTTTTGTCCCTAGCACATTCTAGAATATCTGTTGGATGGCAGGCACCATTTCCTTTTTCAAGGTGAATTTATAACTAGATAAACATAAAAAAAAAAAAAAAAAAAAAAAAACAAAAAAAAAAAAAAAAAAAAAAAAAAAAAAAGATTGGTTGTATTTTGCTTTGTGCTGGTATCTGTGTTGGATGCAATTTCTATTTCATTAAAAATGAGAAAACTTTCACATAGAATTTTATTGGAAACTAAAACATTATTGTGATCGCACAGCGGTGGACACACATTAAATGATCGGCTGGATAATCATGCAACTACCACCTTTTTGCCTATGGTTTAGGACTGGATATGTATTACCCTTTTTATCTGCTTTAATAATTTACATGGACTATTGCTTTTGCTTTGGGTTTGTTTGATTATTTATTTCTCTCATTCTCTCTCTCTCTCTTTTTTTTTTTTTTTGAGGAAGTATAGAGATTAGTGGTAGTAGTGAATTTTTATTTGGTAGTAGCATTTATTTGTAAAAGAAATTGTGGTATATTTTTGTATATGTAGCAATTCATTACTGGCATTTGTGAAAAAAAAAAAGGAATTCATCACTGTCACTGGCATTTGTGAAAACATTGCATAAAATGTCTCTATTTATTATTACTCCTTTGATCCAGTTTTCACTTAACAAGGACTTGCATATTTTCTTAAAATATAAAAATGAAAAAAAATTATATATATATACATTAATATTTTAAACATTTTTTTTTTTTTTTTTTTTTTGAGGAGGAAAGAGATGGTTAGCTTCATCAGGATTGGTTCAATGGTCTTTGACAGTGCTTTCAGCAATACTAGATACTCTAAACATGCATTTACTAGCTTAATTTTTGCATTATTCTCTCTATCTACATATACAGTACCAAGTCCGAAATCCAAATGTCCAATATCTGGGTCCCCCAGACCACCAGATTTTATTTTAGAATTGTTTTTTTTAGAAAAGAGAGATACATGCATTAACAGTACACATTTTTTAATAAAGCACATTAACAGATTCTTAATTTCTTTCATAGTTTAATGGTACTAAATAAAGCAGCTCCATATTGAAGGAACACAATTATTTATTAGTATAAATCTTTCTGATCAATTGCGTAGCCACTTTCTCGCTTAGCAAACATCTCAAATCAAAAATTTCTACGAAGTTTATGGCTGATTTTATACCTACTAAATAACTTACTTCCTAACACCAACCTGGGAATCATTTTTTGCTTTTATCACCACATAATTACTGCCTTGTGGCAGCTTGAGAAATGTTTCACACAATAATGTCTAAAACATTTTATCCCTAATATTAGTTATTGAATACCAAAAACTGTAAATACTGATTTGTTCCCTATGAAATTTAAAGGTTTTTCAGCTATCAAAAATAAATAAATAAATAAAATAAAATAAAATAAATAAAAAATAGTAAAATTTGATAATCAGTGACTAATATACCAAACAGCATGGTAACTTTTTATGTTGACTTACACTCTTCACTGTGAAGTACCATTTTGCACTGAATATGTTGATAAGCATAAGATGATATATAAGTTGATAAGGATGTTGATATGATAAGAATGGATATGTTGATAAGTGCTGAATATGTTGATAAAGAGAAATTGAACAAAAAATATCTTTCCATATGTAAGAAATAGATTTTGTAAATAATATCCATAGACCAAAAGATTATATTTAGCACTATTTCAATTAAGAATAACTAATTTGTTGTTCAGATAAGCCTTCAGTATATGCAAGAACTTATTAATCAGGACCCAGATAAGCATATGTGGGAAACAGACATAAATATAATAAATAACTAAACTAATATAATTCAGACTTAACTTTTACAGGGTGCAATAGAAACAAGACAAAATTTAGTGGAAAAAAACATCTCTAGTCGCCAGTCTCATGACAGATTGCCAATAGTGTATAGCAGATGCTTAACTGTAAATTTAAAAGTTTTCAGCTATTGGGGAAAAAAAAAAAAAATTCCAATTAATGGAATTTGTGAAAATTGTGGAGAACTGATAATAAATGAAGATTATATAGAATTTTTTCACTGTGATGACAATGCCTCAATTATCAATCAAATGACAGATGGCAAAATCTGTAGTATGGTTCTAAATTAAAAAAAAAAAAAAAAAATACCACTGCCAATAGATATTATGTCATGAGAAAGAAACACATGTAAAACCTTAAAATATATGAATGGGTATAAAACCTAATATACATGGATAATCTATTAATTAATAAATACATAAATATAAAAAAATTAGGCATTATTATGTAATGTTTATTTCTATAAAATGCATGCAACTATAGATAATTAACAAATATTTATCCCTATAAAAATAAACGATTGGTAGTAAGTTAGGGCTGAATTGAGAATGATTGATAAAATAAATAACTAGGCTTACATTTATAAGAAATTAAAAACCATACAGCACCTTACTTAAAAATAAATTTCCTGTTAAAAGATTAAAAATTACATACTATATAGTTTTTGTTTTGCAATAATTATTCCAGTTTACATTTGAGTACAGCAAAACAGTTATTAAAAATCTGATATTTATCTAAAATAAAGAAGCTCTAAAAGAATATAAACACCAATGGAAAAGTTACATCTACGAACTTCAGACAAAAAGTATACAAACCTTCAAATAAGACCGTATAGAAAGCCATATTTTAATATTCCTAACTTTGTTCAAACGGAAGTGAGGCAAATTTGCTCGCTTAGCTCGTCTTGAAGATGTGAGAGAGCAAAAATGCTTAGCATAAAAAAAACGCTACATAAAGATAAAAGAGACCATGTCAATTAAAAAGGTATATCCAAGATAATAATAAGCACACAGAGTTGAGAAGATTACATTATTACTTTACCTGTTTAAAAGTTTTCTCAGCAACAGAAAGTAAGAAGAAAAATGCAAGGCTGAACATAAATCTCTCCAGCATGACAATTAAAACTACAATTTTTACTCTGAAAAATACAACAAAAATAAATTTCCAGGACACTGGTTAAAAAATAATAGTAAAAGTAATCAAATATTAGTAATGGTACAGACGTATGTTGTTGATTATGGATGCATTTACACAATGCAGATAATTTTCACACAGCCTTTTATATTATAAAAACATTCTGTCACACACTGACAAACTTTAACAGATTCTAATACAGAAATTTTTTCAAAAAGAAATAAGAAAAGATCTTAATAATGCTACATAAATACTTCACAAATTTCATTACTTTCTGATTATCTGCGCTCCTGCTGAAAAAACTGTAAAAAAGAATCTGATGCACGCAGTACATTAATATAATTTCATTAACAGTGATAAACTTTTAAGTAGACTAGATGTTTGTTTCTTTACAGCTCACAATTTTTTTGAGCATGTTTTACATAATTGGAGATGCCAGTACCACTGTTTATTACTACAATAAAATTTGTAGGAAACTGTCTGGAATTCACAAGAAATAAATTCTGGATACTAAAAACTTCCAGATAGTTGGGCACATAAAAATTGCAATTCATGGTAGAAAAGCCATCTGAATGGAAAAAGAAATTTCTCGATCAAATTATAAAACAGTTGTCATCTTTGTTATTAGCTTGAGTATCAAAAGCCTAAATTTAAAATTATATAAGACTTAGGGAAAATAAGAATTTTGTATATAAAATCCAATGTATTTCAAAGGCTTTCAATATATGAAGTTAAAACATCTTATCCGATTATAAAATGACATCGATCATGAAAGTTGGCAGAGGTGCCGTCAAACCTGCACAGTCATTCTGGTAGAAGCTTAAAAATATAATTTTTTTCTCTTTAAATCATAAGTTTCAAGTCACGGATATAATATATAAAAACTTATATTGCATAATTTTTTACATTGCATCATCATTGTTTATTCATTCTCAAAGTCACGCATCAGGGTCGGTCAATAACACACATTTTCTCTTCTTTTTTCCCAGCCAGGATCGTGTTGAATCCATATTGTTTCACAGAAGGGAGATACCAAATTTTAACATTTTTAAAAAATGCAAGGGAAAGCAGATAATTAAATAAATAAAAGTTTCCTTGTATTTTCTTTATAAAAACTCAAATGGCTTATCAAGAATTAATCTGGTTTGCATAAAACTAAGGCAAAGATCTTATGACTGTGTTGTGATATCATGCTTTTACATTGCTGGCGCTAAATTGCACTATTTGATGACAGTTTTTATATGTCAAAAATGACTGAAAGGAAAGGACATTAAATAACAAATTTTTTTAATTACTAAGATTTTTGGCCTATATGCATTGGCCTATAAACAGTGATCATAACAATGAGTATAGTGATTGTGATACACAAACTATTGTGAACTTTGGAATCTCTTATATGCTCCAGTGCCATAATAACAAAGACGTCTAATGGAAATTCCCATTACAAATTCTTTCATAGCAACTACCCACCTTTCTTTATGTGAGGGATATCTAAATCCAAAGATGAATTCTTGGAACAATACAATGGATACAGCAGCAGGGAAGACATGTAAGCAATGTCTTTTGAAAGACAGCCATGTAATTTTATTAACAGTTATAAATGAGCTTTTGAGAGTCCTATACATGCTTTATAATGGCTTTTCAAATCTCCCATTTGATTAATTTTTCAAAAAAGTTTTTTTATTAAAATATATATATTATTTTTAGGTTAGTTGAATGCTGGATAGTCAGGTTTTTACCGCATTACCAAGTTTGATTATGATTATTTAATACATTTTAATGTGTTCTAATAAAAAGGTTCCAATTTTCTAATTCAAATTAAAATTCTTTACTAGTAGCTCCAAGGCTAATATATGAAACACAATTTGGTAAAAAACAAGTAAATCCTTTAACTCAGTATTTTTATTTCATATTAAATGAATGTAATATTTTGGTAGAATTCAAAGTAGATCAATTTGATTTAAATTATTTATGTCACACTAAAGTGAAGCTGCTGGAAGTAATCTGCTTACCACTTCAGCTTTGTCTTCACACAGTTTTTCTGTGATTTACCACATCCCTTCACCTACTATTTGTACTAGCATTAGCTTTGGTATTCTGAGCCCTTATTCCAAATTTTGTGTGCATTTTTCAGAACAGCAATTAAAGCACAGCAAGCAAGAGTTTATCTGTTATAGTGTGGTCGGAGACACTTAGCCGATGGAACACTTAACCGACAAGACATTTAGCCAACAGGGACACTTAGCCGACACGGATGCTTAGCCGACAGGATGTTTAGCTGACAAGGACAGTTAGCCGACAGGACACTTTGTTTACACGAACAGTTAGCCGACATGACATTAAGCCAACAATGAGTCTCGCTCTTCCCAATGATTTTAAATTTCTAATACTTTCACTTTCATATTTCATTACTACTTTGCTCAACACATCACACTACATTCATTACCGTATGAAGTCATTTCGCTCCTCCCACTAATGAAATTTCCTTTCCCTGTCAGGAAGTAGAGTGATTCACCCTACTCCTTGCGACACTGGAACAACTTTTTTTAATTTAAAATGCTATTTATACCCTATACAATTTCAGGTTAGGCACCACGTATTTATTACAGGTTAGGCATCGCATGCTTATTAATCTGGGATAGTAATCTGGCATGGGAATTCGTACCTCGTGGCCTGCGGCCAGAAGTAAGTTTGGTTTATGCAATTATGGTAAAGCCAGATGGCTGTCGCGTAACGGGAGGGATACCTTCATGGAGGACTTTCTAAGGAAACCTGGTTCGTATACATGTTATTCATGGGGAAACCATGAAAACACCCATGTAGCCTGTCCGTTCACCGGATTTGAAATTCGGAACGAACTGCCAGTGTTCAATGACTTTACCGTTCAGCCGCTGCTGGACCTGACAGAAATAGAGTGACCGTTTTACTTAATATAAAATCAGTCTCTTCCAATGCAATTGCCTTTTACCTAGAACTTTTCTGCATTTAAATGGGCCCAAAATTTCCCTATTACAGTACAAAACAAAGGAAAAAGAGGAATGAACGAAAAAAAAAAGTTATGAAAATTTATACATTTTTAAAAGATATTGAGAAAGTTACATTTTATGAGAAAATGAAACATATAACATATTATATTGAATTACATACGACTTTCAAAACAGAGTACATAATTTATTATCAGTTACATGCCTGATCTAGTTAAATCTAGCTTTGATAGATGGCACCACCATTATGGTGACTTTTCGGATGTCTCGCTTTGCTCCGCCCTGCTGGTGCTCCTCCTCTGCAGATTCCTCGATTTCTCTTCGGGATTTTCCAACATCGAAATTTATATTACAATGTTTTCGATATAAAAGAGTGAAAAATGTAGTTTTTGAGAACAGAATTCAGTTATAATGAAAAAAACCTTAAAATATTTACTTCTAAAAAATATCAATTATGGCTTCAAATTAAAAATAATATTTTAAGAGGGAGGCGTGGTCAATAAATGTTACAGAATTTTTATCTCAAGTAGAGGCATGAACAGCCGTATAGAGGTCATATTTTACCTTGCTGTCTTAAAATGAATTTTTTTTAATTGTTTTCTAATAACAAACTATTATATGTTTCGAAACTAACCCTTCACTACCGTAGTTCTATAAAAAATATAATTCAAGAATAACAATATTTTTATTGATTATTTATTATTAACGACTACTTCACACCTCATGTGACAAGTAGTCATACCCTCTCACATCTGCGATCCTGACTTAGGTTTCACTCATCTTCTCCTACTTTCAGAGCTCTATAGAAACTAACTCAGACAGCTGAACAAAACTTGCAAATCCTGCAAGTATGGTTGGATGAGCGAGATTGAAATTATATCATTAAGTAAACAAGAAAAATTTCAAGGATGGAAAGGTTCAAAAGAAACCAGTTGATTAAATGAAGAAGCTTTATGAATAATGTTTGAAGATCCCAAATTAATTAGTACCACGTACTTAGCAAAATTTTTTTTTTTCCTTTCGAAATTTAATTCATATTTCCCGACGAGAAATTTCAGCGATTTTTCGTTGGCCGATATACACTAAGGCACGTTACATATCAAACAGTGCTATTAACACAGTAATTAAAGCCCATAGAGATCTATAATATCAAAAAATGATTTACTGATTAGGTGACAAATAACTTCAATATTAATTATGAGAGGTCGAGAAATTTTCTAATTGATATAGTTTAATAATGATTTGTTACGTACCAGTTAAATGCATATGCTAGTATCTGTTGACTAAAGTTGACAGTTTGGGGTCCCCGTAGCTAAAGTTTCTGAGGGCTAACCTTTGGTCAGCAATGTCGTTGGCTAAGTGTCCTTGTCGGCTAAATGTCTTGTCGGTTAACTGTCTGTGTCGGCTAAATGACCTGTCGGCTAAGTGTCTGTGTCGGCTAAATGTCCTGTCAGCTAACTGGTGTCGGTTAAGTGTCACGGACCCGTTATAGTGCTTGTGTAGTTGGAATTATCTATTTACCTAAGTATTAGTATTTCTCCAAATTTTATTTATTTTTATTGACAGTGATGCCATACATAATGAATGGGAACAAGAGTAAAAAAAAATTCTTGCATTATGAGCCACAAACCACCTATTTTTAGAATATTAAACTTGGAGAAACATTTGTTGTACTTCCTGTACTTATAAATACACAAAATCCTCAGTGCATAAAAAGACAACCAGCATAGCAATTGACAAATAAGCATATTTCCTAATTTTAAATAACTGTTGAAGATTTGCAAGTCCTTCTTTAACAGAAACACGAGTGCACTTAAATCTTTTAAAGAATTTAGAAGTCAGCCAAGTAGGGGCACAAGAAGTACAAAAATGTCATGGACAGTTCAGACTGGGTACTTTAGCACAATCCCTTGGCACAGTTTGGCAATTTTTCACAGAAGAAAAAGAACAATGACTTATTCCAGAAGTGCACATTTGAAAATTTAGAAAAAGGGGGGAAAAATATCCCAATTTATTCACAAAAACTATCGGAACTTGGAATAAAATAAGCAGTATGACACTGCTGATTAAAATTGAAGAACTGCTGCCAGGGTTTGCTACATTTCACAAATTTTGTGACTTTAATGAAGGTGGTTATAACATGTAAGTACTCGAGTTGTATCTTCAGGAGAAAATTACAAGCTTTAGCTAGACTGTGAAAGTGTATATACACAAAGTAAGTGTTAAAATATTGCATAATTTATTTATAAGTAATTTTCTTGTTTTTCTAGTATTGACAGTATTTTCAGTATTCACTGAAAATTTGTTTAAAATGTTACATGATTTTGGATTATGTTTACAAATGGATTAAAATTATTTCTACAGTATTTTATAAAAAACAGATCTTGCAGTATAAACACCCTTCCAAAACAGATTGTGTTCATTAAATGCAATACTGCATATTGCTCTGATTATAATGGATGTTGCGATGTTCATGCAAGATGTAGAATCATCCTAATACTGGCACTCTCCACTTGGCAAAAACAATTTATCAATTTCCGGAAATTTTTCATCTTATTAAATTATTATGAATTATGAGATAACTTGATGTTTATGGATATAGAAACATCATACGCATCCCAGACAATATGAAGACTCTATACAACATATTAATATCTAAAGAAATGCTATTTTTGGTGTCAATACATCTTTGCTCAACCTCTGGTAGTTCTGATGGCTGCAATACTCAAAATTTAATATAAGGTATTTTATTTTGAAAATGAAATCATTTAGTAAATATAATTGTAATTATTGTTTTTATTCAAAATAAATTTTCTTAAAAACACAAATTCATGTATTTTTCTGCTATTTGTGTTATTTATATTTGTAGTTCTATTTGTGCATTTTTAACTAATAAGCATTTAAAATCCACTACGCATAAAATGTTTGAAATATTTTACTGCTTTTTGCTTTACCTTAAAAATTAGCACAACAGCACACTGTAAATATCATACTAAAAACTGAAAGGAGATATATTAAGAAGTAACTTATTACGAGGAAAGAAAGTTTTGTTTCATATTTCTTGATTATTAAAATTTTGATTTTGATGTAGGAATGCTAATGCAATGCACTGATTTAGAACTATTCTGAAGATTATGTTTCTTTAGTAATTGAATAACGCAAAGTATACAAGACCTATCTACCTTAAGAAAGGGATGCTTAGTTGAACCTTAAGAAAGGGTTTACCTTAAGAAAGGGATGCTTCGTTACAATGAAAACAGCTTAATTTTTATATTACACATGGGGAAGATATAGAAACTCATATAGCTAATTCACATTCAATAGAATTTAAATAAGGTTCATGTTAGCATCATTCAGTACCGAAGAAGTGGCAAACGCTAATTACTTTACACAACTTCCCAGAACTTGATTTTCCTGAAACAACACAGGCAGATATGCAAGAAGGACGGCCAAGTTTTCTGCTTCCAAGGAAAGACTGGAAAAACTCCTCCTAGTGCTAGACACAAAAACTCTGAATTTTTTTATATGAATTAAATTAATAAATTCATTGTTGTAGTTATAATATTCTCTGAATTTCTTTGATATTTTGTAATTCTGCATCAGGATTAGGAATAGATTAAAATTATTTCTATAGTAATCTATAGGAGACACAACCCTGGAATAGATTGCCTTCATTATGCAAAGTACCTCAGTATCTGTTTATATTAATTTTAAAATTTTATTTCATTTGTTTATTTCATTGTTTTTAGTTTGCTTATGATTTTAACATTGTACCAAGCTATTTCTAAATGCTGATATCTTTCACATTATTTCTAAACATACAATTATTTGCCTGGGTGCACTGCTTAAAACACTTATAAGTGTTCTTTTGTGTAAAAGGGAGAGGGAATTGAAAATATGAATGAGAAATTATTTGAGAAATCTTTATAAAGAATAAAAGCTTGCAGCCATTTTGAATAAAAACTTCTGTTTAACAAAAATAAAAAAACAGAAGCATATCAAATGGTTAAATATTGGATTCGTAAACCTATGAAAATTATTTCAGCGATAAAACTCAAATTCTAAGAAATTAAAAATAGTACCGTAATTTTGCGCGTATAGTCCGCGGACTATCTGTGTTTAAAATGCGAATTTTGGAAGCTGCGGACTATCCACCAGTGCGGATAATACGTACATATATTGTGATGTGATTTAATTGAATGATGAATCATATGCACAATTTGTCAAGAAGAAACTGTTTACTAAACATAGTATATTATTTCCTTTTTAAATACAGATTAAAATATGAACCTTTTAAATACAGAGGTATAATTATTCCAAACAAATTAAGCATTCATTAACTTACCTCCATCCTGTTCCTAGCATAGTCTCCAGAATTCCATCTGTTATTTTGACCACTTCTTCAGAACTTGGCACTGACAATGAAAGTACATCTGTTGTGGCATCCTGGATGACATATGTAGCAATTCCGTCACGTAAGCGAAACAACAGGGGTAAAAAAGACAAAACCAAAGCAAAGAAAACTCCAAAGTAGAGATATTCTGTGCTATCCTGTGAGGAATCCACTTTTTGAATGATGGCTGAGCTGACATCTAAAGCTGTTAAGTCGACTTTCTTGCACTCACTGTGTTCCCATATGGTACAGCTCACTTAAGAAAAGGATTAGTAAGCATATGGAGAAGTTAGAGAAATGCAAGAAGGAAAAGATAAAAGAAATGAAATTATTAGAGTTATTAGATAACACAAACAGAAAAGGAAAGTTATCTGTAAGTACATAAGATAAATAATTTTATTGTATTGTATTTATCTACTCAAAATTTTAGCATCTAAATATACAGAAATCCATGAATGACAGGAAATACTGATACTATAAATTTGGAAGATGAATCCACTAAAAGTAAACTCCAGTTGAAACTCAACTTATAGTTTTTATTAAGATTTTTTTATTTAATAAAAAGAAAGAAAATTATTTTGAGTGTTACATATATATATTATATACATAAAGAAGCAATGTAAATTAAATACTAGATTAATTTCTTTCCTATAAAGAAAAAAGATGTTTCCAAAACTCCAATTAGTGCATTACTAAATGAAAATGCCTTTTCTTTCTTTTCTTCCCTCCTCAATTTATACACAGAAAGGTCCAATAAAATTAAATCAAGTGCAACACATACACATAATGCATTTTAATTTACTAATTAAAAATTTCTAAATATTTTAAAACAAAATTTATTACAATGATTCAATTAGCAGGAAATAAAAACATTAATCTTAAAACATTAAGGAAATATTGGTAAGGTTAATACTAAAATAATGCATTGTTTTAAACATTTAAATTTTGAATATTTCTGAAAATAATACACATGGCCAATTCATTAATCAATTATCACACAGCATATGAAAGCTGCCTTAAAAAGAATGCCACTGCTTACGAGATTAAAAAAAAAAAAAAAAAGACTGGTTCAGATTTATATTTTATACAAAGATAAATTATACATTGAGTATATAATGTACAGAATTTGTTTTTAAAATATTATCAAGTACCTCAAAATGAATAACTACTAAAGTGAAATTAATAATCACTGTTCAAAATAAAAACTCATCTGGGTGCTAATTTTATCATGATCCAAATTTTAGGATATTTTTAGGGGTTTTGAGAATATTGCACAAACCCTTCAGTAACAATTTCTTTTGGATTACTTTTCATTACATAAATTTTAATAGTAATAAAAAAAAGCACATTAAAATACCATCTACTTGAATGAAAATCTTTATTTCGTTCAACAGTGTGTGCATATTATCAGAATTTAAGATATTGATAAATGTAAACAGTAATATAGAAACATACACAATATCATGCTCACTTAGTTAGGTGCTAGCTTTTATATATATAACTGCTGCATGTTTAACACTTCTTTCTTCCTTTTATTTATTTATTTTGTGAAATATTAGTGTAATCTTAGGCCAAAATGTTTTTTTGAAAAATCAATCGTGCAATTCACAAGCTACAAAATTTTCATAAACTTATTAATATGAATTATAGCTTAAAAATTTTTCATGAAATCGGCATAAATTGTATGTCACAAAATTTTTTGCCATAGGATTTACACTGTGTACCATTTTTTATGTGTTCTTAATTTATTTGCACATTCTGAAATTTCATGCTACAATTAGAGCTTTTGTCTGCTCTTCATGTCACAGTATTCAGTTCTTGAAAGCATCTCTTTAGGCAAATTTTTAAATATAAGGTGCCCATTGAATTCAATACAAATGTGTATTCATCAGTTTGAAAATGCCTTTATTGCAATAATGGAGAAGTTACATATGTATAATTAAAAACAACTTTTCTTAAGACAGATGTTATACTAAACTGTTTCTAAGTTAACTGTTCATTTTCCAAAAATTCAATGGAACATTTTCCCTATATTTTTAAAATTCATTATACAAATTTTAATAAAATGTTTAAAAGAATTAATTACAATATTAAAGGTTTATTTATTTACTTTTAACTACAAGTTAAGAGGAAACAGTAACTATTTAACAAAATTTAGATTACTGGACACACCGACAATGGTAAATATTATTATGTGCATTATTTCTTTACTTCTCATAATAAACACATATTAATGACTTTTATATCTGCATTCCAAAAAAATACTTAACAGGCGATTTCAGAGTAAGTCTATCATCAGCACCATTTACAAAATGTTATGTTTTTTCCTTTTAAAGTCTATTGCTAAAAATTCAGCAACATAGTAACATGAATTATTTCCAAATTATGTCTTAATTTATGCATTATAAACATTTTAAAAATTTCTGCAGCTTGTTGCGTGGGCAGTGAAGGACCAAACTTCAAACTAACAAGTTTTTTCTGAATTTTGTAAGGATTATTCAGAAGCCTAAGATATTTGTTTCAAATGGAAGGAATCTACAACAAATCAGAATAAATCTGGTGTAAGTGTGTGTATATTTTTCCTTTACAAAGAAGCACCCCATATGGCCCCTTGAAACATGTTGAGTTACTTATTAAAATCAAAAACTATTTTTAGCTTCAAAATATATATAAAAAATTATATTAAAATCTTTCTTTGCCTTTTACTTTTAGTGTATTCTTTACCAATCATGTTCTCATGCCATCAGCATATTATTTATTATAATTTTTAAACTATTAATTAACATTTGGAATTCTCCATTCAGCTAAAAAAAAAAAACTGGTTAAAAGTATGTGATAAAAAGATATAAATCTAGATCTGCTGATCCAGGCAGACTAAAAAAACCTCAAATAAGAATTTTTAAAAATTAAATTAATAGGTACCGTAGAAATACACTTCTTCAAGTTAGTATTTTCAACAATTTTATCTCTCAATATTATTGCCGTATAAACAGAAACCCTACTGTATAATTAAACAATGCCATTATTTATTCATCACCATCCGAAATAAAATAAATAAAATGCTCTCTTTGATGAATAATGCATAGCCCCAAGCGCATACCACTTGATAGATTTGTGCAGCAGACAAGACATATTTTAAAACAAGCATCTAGATTTGAAATGCTGCAGATTAAATTGAATTTAATAAGGAAATGAAATGCACAAGAGTTGCTTCATACAAAAAACAAACTTTCATTACAAGACAGCTCAGTTTAGATTCAAACCAATATAGGTGAACTAAACATGTACAGTAGAAAATATATATATATATATATATATATATATAATATATGAAAAAGGAAGCAATAAATTTCAAATTCCTCATCACTGAAATTCAAACATTTAAGACTTCAGATAAATAATTTAAAGTTATAAAAAAGTTTCAAAGATACTAATTTCAAATGAATGCAACAAACTGAATTATAAACATCATGTACAAAATTTAAAAAAAGCCCATGCAGCAAATACAGTCTTCATGCAATAAATTAAAATTTGTTACATTTTTAAAAATGTTAAAGCCCATTTAACATTCCTTTTTCTTTTCTTTCTCTTAAATAAATCTATACTTCAGACGCAGCTATCCAGATTTTAGAAAATACAAACAGCTCTTTAGTTCTTACAAAAGTATACTCTATATAATTTATATCATAATTAGCTCCAGTTTTCAAAAGCAATGGACCACACCTTTTTTTTTTTTGTTTGAAAATATCTTGCTAAAATGATTAATTTGTGCCATTTAGTACTTATATATATATATATATATACTTAATCATGACTATGTTCAAAAACATATTATCAAAAATTACTAAGCCATCTTTAGTTGGCTCTTTGATATTCTTTTATGTTAAAAAGTAAACTTATATTTCTATAAAAATTATTTTGGCCACAATATTTCTCATAAAATATTCCTTCTTATTCCCCTTTCCTTTTTCACAAAAACACTTGAGTATTACTTAACAAGCAGAAAAAGCAAAAATACATCAGAAATAAAATTATATCTTTTTACAATCTCACATGATTTGATATAAATTTAAAAGGTATTTGATTCATTCTATATGGATCTACAATTAATGTGAGAATTCTGAAGGCGATGATTAATAACGAATAGGCAATGAAGTTCTAATATTTATATTAAATATATGAAAATAAAATTTGCTAAAAAATTACAGCTTTAAAAAGGCATGAATTTTGAAAGCATTTAATTATTGTGCTGCATTAAACATGTAAATTCTAGTATACTATATTTCATACTAATCTTGTAAATTTAAATAACAGGTTCTTTCCCTCCTTTAAATTAAAATTGATTATGTCAAAGTTTAAGTTGAAGTTAGTTTTATTTTATCTATCTTTCAAACTCAAAAATATTTACGAGTTACCTATAGAAGAAATTGTTAAAACAGAAGAAGCTAAGAAGCATGGGAAAAGGGGGGGGGAGAAAACTTGGGCATGAAGAAAAGAAATAATATGTTAAAGAAATAATTACAACAAAATACAAATAAATTTACCTGATCTTGGGCGGTGACCTAAAAACAAAGGATAAGGAAAACAATCAACACAAAGAAGATGAAAATAACATTTGGGTTCAAGCCATGCAATTATTCACAGATGCAAACACAAATACAGCAAAATTTTATTATGTTATACAGAAATTCATTACCTTTGTCAGTACCAGGGTGTCCTATATTACTTATCTTCTTAGAAGGCTGAAAAAATAAAAAAATTTTGCATGAGAAAAATTTTCATTAAGAATTTTAATTACATAAATACAGAATTAATCTTCTGTCCATTAATGGCCTACAATATTCAAACTCATTCAGCTCACCTTGTATTTCATTCTGACAGATTTTCTTTAGTGCTTGCTGTCTCATACAGATTCTGGTTTCACTGCATTTTGATCTGACACTAATTAAAAAAATTTTGTTTGCTCTCTCAATTGTTCTGACAACAGCATGTTCTCTCTCTTTTTAAAACATATTTATTTATGATTATAATTTCCCCCCTTCTGAAATAATTACATATTTGAGATAAAATACCTTTACATACTCAGATTTGAATTTAGACAAGAGTAAAGTACTTCAAATAGGAAAATTCTATGGAACTTATTTAACCATACATTTTTTGAGAAAATATTACTTCACATTACATTTTTACAAATATGAAAAATTTTAAAAGAGATTTGTATAATGAACAACATTCGATTAAAAGCAAAATACATAAAAATTAAAGAGATAAGAAATTTTGGTAAAAAAATATTTCAAACATATTTATTGCTGAAATAAATATTAAGGTTTCTTTTGAACTTATTCTATACAAAAACAAAATGAAAAGTCACACAGCATAGGCAAGCAGACTCAATTTGAAATCTTAACATGAATCTTATATTCACAGGTAGAAATTCAAGGGGTCGTGGTGCCATGCGACTGGTCTGCCTCTGACAATCCAGCAATCAGAATTACGTCCTATCGAGGTATTCTTCGTACATTGCCATTTAAATGTGCAGGAGCTCCATCATACTGAAACCAGATGTTTCGGCATGCAGCCTGCTGGACCATCAACCATCAGATCCAGGAGCACTCTTTCCACAAAATATCAATAAACAACTGAATTAATAAACTGATTTATCTTTCTCCAGCAACATCCTCACCTGAAATGATCACACATTCCACTCTTCAATAAGCCTGTGGCAATGACCTTTTTAGACACCTTGTATAAGCAAATTTTAAAACTCTAAAGCATAGTGCCGACTAGAATTTATTGTTAGTTCTGTTTGATGTATGATCCAGATGTCATAAGCAAGCAGATGTTGTGTTGCCGCTGCAGTCAATTTTCAGGTCAGCAAAATTTTCTGTTGCATGACATTATCATAAAGGACATGTTTTCCTGAAAAGTATGTACGAGGTAAATGCTGAAATAACTAGTATATGAGCACATGGATTCTGCACTGCAGTCTACCATGATGATAGTGATGAACTTCTGGATGCTCACATTATAATCAGCAATGAAACATGGGTTTCACACTTTAGAAAGCAAGCAGCAGTCAGTTGCACTGGCATCATGCAGAATCTTCAACAAAGAAAAAATGAAACAGACTGTGTCAGTGAGGACAATGATGTGCATGATGCTGCAGGATAGATATGGTATTTTACATATTGAATTCCTAACCAGAGGATGGTGTGATGCTGATCATTGCTGTGAAAAATTGTAAAAGTTGCAATGGATTATTCAAAACAAGCAATATAGCACCCTCAGAGCCAATACTATCTAATTCTTGACCCCATACTGCTCATGGTGCAACACATCTTCTGCAAGAGTTCTGCTAAGAGATCTACTATATAGTACTAACATTGCTTCATGAGATTTCTATCTTTTATTACACCTAAAGGAATGCCCGGGCAATTATGTTTACTCTCTACTGATGCCTCCAAAAAGACTTACTCTCTGAATGTCCATCAAAATTAAAGATATAATGAAAACATAATGCAATTAGTACAAAAAAAATATTTCAAATTTTTAATTTTCCCTCTTAAAAGTAATCAATGATAAGTTAAAAACTAAGTTGATCCATTTTAAGAGAATGTTTTCTTTCAAAAAAGGGAAGGATGCATATATTATAAAATATGTATGTGTATGCAAATATATATTTATATTCATTCAAACTTATAATTGATTACTTAGACCTTGAAATTAAATGTTGTGAATATTATCTGATGAAAACTGTTTCTTTTCAATATATATTGGGAGCATCTCCAAAAATATAACTAAGCTATTACAGAAATTATCATAATAGAAATATAAACAAAACCTTGATAACTAACATCATGGATTAGAACTCTTTATAATTACACTAATTAACAATATATCTATCAAATCCTCAAAATTGTGCCTTATGCCTACCTAATTTTTCTTTTTGATGTATTTGACAGAATTAGACAAAACTTTTATAAGAAACCTATTTTAAATGTATATCAAATATGCAAATAAAAAAAATTCCTTTACCAAATAAAGCATCAGATTTAATTTGAAAACCAATTTGAGCTTAAATGGATGCATTCTGCTTCCAAGCTTTCTACCTATTTCTTCTGGACCAAATATTTATAAAAATATGTTTTATTATTAAGTTTTATGTCATATAGTAACATACAAAATCCCTAAATTCAACTCAAGCACATCCCATTAAAACTCGAAATGCATGCACTTAATGGATTTTGAGAGAGTTTAATCTGTTGTGTTACATATTAGTATACCTCTTTTGCTGTACTATACTAAGGTCTCTTCTGGATAGTAATCCCATATTCTTTTTTGCTTTAGATTATATTTGAGACTACAAGATATCACACAAGACCATATACAGCAGCAATTTTTACTTTCATTTTTCACTGAAAAAATTTTTAGTTTCACTGAATTTATTTTTACACTTATTACTATAATACCATATATTTATGAATCTCTGAAGTAAGTGATAATTTCTGGGTATTTCTTTATTTGCTCCTTTAAAAATACATTTTGCTGTTTAGTTAAGTGATTTAACAAACTAGCCATTTGCGCAGTCAATCACCTAAAACAGTTACTATGAAAAAGAAACAAAAGGTATAATGATTTTAGTAAGTCCAGCTACTGTAATTTCATTAAAATACCTATTGTTTTTAATTAGCTATACCATGAAATAAATGCATTTTTTATTTAAATCGATCAGAAGAGAAAGTTTAAAACATACTATCAAGAACTGATTTTGTTGCTTTTAAATTGTTTTATTAATCAATAACAGAAATATTGAATTTGAAAGTTAAAAATAAAAAGGTAGTGGCAGCATATTCTTTTTATTTGATGGAGTTTGTTGATAAAGTTTAACAAACGTCTTAGATTTTATCATGTGGCAACACATTTCTTGTGCTTTTATATAGTTGAGTTTGTTCAAATATTCACTAAATCAGCACCAAATATGGAATAAAAAAAAACTAAAAATCCAGGCTTTGAGGTGCATATGTCAGGTGGAGGACTATACATGTTCAAAATTTAATTTTAGATGGTGCCATTTTTTTACAATATGAGGAAGACAGACAGATTTTTCATTATTTAACAATAGAGATCAAATGTAATACAGTAGAAGTCCAGAAATCCACAAAGCTTGGGACCAGAGCTTGTGCGGATTTTAGGATTTTGGAGATTTCAGGACAGAAAAGATAAAGCATAATATTTGGACTAAAAGTGCAAAATAAATAAGGCGTATTAGATAAATTTAACTAAATCATTACATACATTATTGCAATAATTTATTATATGCATTGAATTATTATTACATATATAAATTGATTATATTATTCATTGTATTATATGTACACAGCATCGAGGTTTGCCGATTTCACCTCGTAAAGATTTCCGGTTTCGGATTCCGGTATTAGAATCACTGTTGCTGTAAAATTTCAACAGCTTTTCTTTATTTTCCGTACATCATACACAATCGTGTCGCAATTCCATACTATTGCTACAAATTGAGGAGTAGCACCTGCCTCCATCTTTTGCAGAATTTGCATTTTTTGCGTTACCGTCAATGCAACGTGTTTACATTTTTCAGCGTTGCAGTAGAAAAAAGTGTTTCTTATCTGTCATTGTCTTAAAAGGCTGAACTTAAAATATTTTTTAATTTATCCAAATATCGGGGAAAAAAAGCAGCACTAAAAACTCGTGAAATAACAAAGCTCGAAATACACAACGTGAATCGTGAACTGAACGAAGAGCTGATAATTGTCTGCTTTTTATCGCAATGCAGAGATCAGAAAAAAACTTTTCTTATTTTTTAAAACTTGTTTTATGTCAATAATTATAACCGTTATGCTCATTATTCGGTAAGTATTTTCTCGATATTTCTACTCATGTTGCGGGCGGAATATAAACTGAATGTTTCTATTTTGAGAGGCAACGTGGATTTCAGGAGTTGGCGTATTTTCGGAATTTGACTGTACTTTTTTTTGGTGTTGTTGTTATTATATTATGAATCTTTTTTTCCCTAGCAGAAGCTTTAAATAATAATTTCAATATATCTTCAATAAATCTCTCTCAGGAGTCTCTGTGAGTACTAAATTCTGTTACCAAGCACTCCCCTAATTTTTAAATTTTTGCCGCCTCTAAATTTTGAGTCCTAGTGCTTTACCTAAATTCTAGAAATTTTATCATTCTTTTTGTTACTCAGTGCTTCTCTAAATTCCAAAAATTCAGTCTTCCCTAAAATCTGTCGCCTGGTGCTGCTATACGACCTCTGGCGTCAGTTTCAGGTTTATGAGAATAACAAATCAGTTATTTTTAGTTCAAATAGCACTAAACGTAATCTTTTGGTCTATGAGTATGTATCATTAACAAAATCTATTTTTAGCATATGAAATGAAATTTTTGTTAAATGTTTCCTCGTCAACTTTCTTAGTGCATTCACTTAAATCTGTAATCATCGGCAAGGATTTTGCCTTATGCTTAACATAAAACATAAAAGGTTATCGTACTCTTTGTTATTCAATTACTAATAGGCATCTCTACACAAGTCATTACTTAAGTTGCCATGTGTTGATAAACATGCAGTGATGAAAACAAAATATAATAAATAATGACTCACCAGGTTGGCACCAGGTGTAAAATAAATGATGTTTCCATGTAGAATAATTTGAGTTTGAGATGCATGTCAAGCAGACACACAGCTAGGGAGCCAAATTATTGA